CCGGGGACTGTGTGACGGTGCGGGAGGAGGTGGTGGCCCACCGGAGCCGGCCGCATCTCTACCTGCAGCGCATCCGCATTGCTAACCCCACCGAGCGGGTGGCCGCCTTCGAGGCCTCGGCCCCAGCTTCCGCACCTTCGCTGGGCGGCCGCTTCGCCACCAGCCTGGAGAAGGTGGAGGAGCGTCAGTTCCTGCTCTCCTCCGGTCGCCTGCTGCTGGCCGGGAGCCCCAAGGTGGTGCTTATGGTGGTGGCTGCCAAGAAGCTCGTGAGCCGGGTGCAGGTGGCACCCAAATCCCACTTCGACGAAACTGTGCTCTCCGTGGTGTACACCTCAGAGCCCATCGAGGCCTCCAGGCTGGAGGAGACCTTCAGCAAGCTGAGGGAGTCTGCCAAGAAGGAGATGCTGGAGGTGATGCAGATGGGGGTGGAGGATCTTTTCCAGGAGCACCAACAGACCTGGTCAGACCTGTTCATTTCAGGTAAGGAAAATGATGCTCAAGTTCCAAAGGGTTGCTTAGAGGGCAGCTGAAAACTCAGTAGCCTGGTTGCTATAAGGTCTCTAGAGGCTCCGCTTTTCCTGCCGGGTTTCTCTCAGGGGCCAGAAGGCATGTTGTGGGATAATAAAACAGCGTTCCCGATTTGGAACACAGCGAACTTTACAGAAGTGGAGTATTTCTTACTGCACAAAGGAAATGATAGAAGAATGATAGTTTTTCTAATCAAAACTCAGGATGTGCTGGCTGTCACGTCTTCAGGAATTTTACTGATTTGCCCAGCATGTCAGCTCTAAGTTGGAAATAGAGTTGACCTTTAGTAGCAGTATAAATGACAGATTTCTTTATGGAAGTTAAGGGCTGTTCTACAAGAATGCTTTTTCTTAAAATAAGACTTTCATGGTCTTCCATGACCATGAAAGAGTAGCTGCCCAAATAATGTAGCACTTGCTATTTGAGCAACCTCTTCTAGTTGAAGATGTCCCTGCTTATTGCAGAGGGGTTGGACTAGATGACCTTTAAAGGTCCCTTCAACCTAAACTATTCTATGATTCTGTTTTATAGCCAGTAAAAAGATAAATGTTCCTTTGACAGACCATTCTTGTGGAGTCATGGTGACGGCTTATAAGGCATCTGTATATCAAACTAGCTTTGCCTTTAGTGGGAACTTGGCGTTCAAAGTCCAAGTAGCAGAGAGAGCATCTAAGAAAATACAAGGAAACATTTCACTTCAGTGTTTCATAGGCAAAGGTTTCTCAGGTGTTACAAAGAATGTCTGCGTATTGAACATTTGAGCTTCTTTTTCTTCTAGTTAATGTCATATTCATGTGTGATCCTCTAACTCTTGGCTGTTTCCTTTTATTACAGGGGTTGAAATGAGAAAGATCACAGATTCACATACACCATCCAGTGAGACTGTTAACATGACCCTCTACTATGTGCTGTCAAGCATGCCAGCTCCTCTGTTAGATCCACTCATTAGTGGTGAGGACAGAGAAAAAATGGAAGCCAGCTTGAACTATGCTGACCACTGCTTCAGTGGTCACGCAACCATGCATGCAGAGAACCTGTGGCCAGCAAAGCTGACCAGTGTCACCCAGATCTTGCAACTCTCAGACCTGTGGAAGCTAACTCTCCAGAAACGGGGATGCAAGGGTCTTGTGGCAGCTGGAGTCCATGGACTTATGCAGGGAATGGTGCTTAGTTTTGGGGGTCTGCAGTTCACAGAAAACCATCTTCAGTTTCAGGCTGACCCCGACGTACTTCATAACAGCTATTCCTTACGTGGGATCCATTACAATAAGGACTTGATTAATCTAGCTGTTCTGCTGGATGCTGAAGGAAAGCCCTTCTTGCATGTGTCTGTGAAATTCCAAGACAAGCCAGTTAGACTATATGCGTGTGAGGCAGGCTGTATGAATGAGCCTGTGGAGCTGACTTCAGAGGCACGAGGTCATACGTTTCCCGTCATGGTGACTCAACCCATCACACCACTTCTTTATATATCGACAGATTTGATCCACTTGCAGGACCTGAGACACACACTCCATCTAAAAGCTATTCTGGCTCATGAAGAACACATGGCCAAGCAATATCCAGGCCTACCCTTCCTGTTCTGGTTCAGCGTGGCCTCCTTAATCACACTGTTTCACTTGTTTCTGTTCAAACTCATCTACAACGAATATTGCGGGCCAGGAGCCAAGCCGCTCTTCAGGAGTAAGGTATAAGCCTGCTGCTTTTGGCTGCTGTCCAGTGAGTGTTGTCAGCCTGATTTTCTGTCAGCTGTGCCTAGGGAGGTTCTGTCTTGGACTGTGAGGATTTTCAGTCTCTCTTGCAACAAGTGATCTGTGACACCTTCTTGCAAGAAGTAGGATTAGGGCAGGGATTTGAGTGGTAGGGCTCACAAATGTTAGAAAAGATAAAGCCATCATCTGTCCTTCTTAAACATTTGTAAGGCTGCACATCAAGCCAGACGCAGCTTTTCTGTCCTTTTTCCACACATTGGTGTTCAGACATCAATTGTTTTTAAGCCAACAGTTGCAGCTGTGTCACAAACTGATGTCTTGTTACGCAGTACCAGAACGCTTGTGAGAGCGCTGCTATACTTGTCTTTACTACTGTGTGGGAGACGTGCACACTTGTCTGCCTGATTTGAACATGTGACATCATAGAGGAGCACACAAATGCAAGCTAGTGTTCTTAGGTCAAGGTACTGACTTGTTGGGACTACTGGTAAATGTTCATAGTTTATAGACACTGTGCAGTCCCCCATCAAACCATGTTTACCACCATAATTTTGGGAATATGCTGAGCTAGTGTTTCTCCCATTCAGACAAAATACATAGCTGTGTTAAGTAAGTACTGAGTGCTTTTTGCTGTGAGTTAGAGGTTCTGACTTCAAGCTCTACTGCATCTCACTTTGGTGTAAAGGATTCAAAATTCTTGTTTTGAGTTGCCTTAGAAAACTTAGTTGCTAGTAAAAACCTAGCACAGAATAGACAATAGATGGTGACTTCTGCTTTTAGTACTGGTACTTTCTCGTTGCATGTTGATATGGAGTGGAAATGGAAGACAAGACTGGGTTTGCTGTGTGAGCTAGCCATATTGTTCAGAGGTATCCCTCCTTAGGATTAAACAGGGTTAAATGTAGCTTGTGTTTAAAAAAAAAAAGGAAATAATAAAGGACATAGTTAAATAAAGCTGTCAGAGGAAGAGTTCTAGCTTTAGATTGCCCTGTTTTTCCAAATTATAAAAGCAAATTCAATTTTGGATAGCTAAGTGTGGACAGAAGGTACTGGACTTGACAGTCAGTACATAAGGGGTGTTTAAAGTCAGTTGGCAATTTCCCTCTCAGCTCAGTGGCTTTGTCATGTTGAGCACTGGAGATCAGGCCTGATCCCAAGCAGGTCTGAATACCTGTCATCTGTTGAAAGAATAAGAGCGGAAGGTGCTTGTGGCTAGACAAACTAACCTAGGAAGAGGTAGAATAGATATGTATATCAAAGACAACTGCAGTTACAAGCCTGTGATCATGATCAAAGCCTTAGTGCAAAAGGAGGAAGCAGTCAGGAAGTAATTTCAATTATTGTGTATACAGCTGTGCCCTGACATGCATCCTGAAATGTGTCCTTAAAATTATAAAATTCTGTCCTTTTTTTCACTGCTGTCTATCTGGTTGCCTTTGTCATGTACAAGACTTGCCTTCTGCCTTTTACAGAATGACTTGTTAACCATTACTACAGGTAACTGTCCCTGACACTATGCTCTGAAATGCTGAGAAGCTTCACAGCTACACACCAGGGCTGATGTAACACCTCTTCCTTCTTGACACTGCAAAAAGCCTTGTAGTGTACAGCAAACAAGTCTGTTGCCTTGTCTTAATTGGATCTACTTAATGAAGATGATGCAGAACTTGATTCCAGAAACAGGGATGAAGGGGAAGCCAGCTGAAGCTCAAAATCTCTGTGTCAGTAAGCAAGATTAATGGTGTTGAAAAAACACCCTGTTTCATGAATTGAATAGGAAAATCCCAGTGTCCAAGTGAACTTAGTCCTGCTTTCAGCCTCCATTTGCACAAGATGTCTGACAGTTTTGCAGCTGAGAACAAGGACCTTTTGAAAGCAACAATCCTTTTGTGCCTTGTTAAGAGAGGAATCTGAGACTTGGAAGGTGTGGTTATTCAAGAATTTATCCCAGAAGCTTGTGTAACAGATGTTTCTTTTTCCTTGTAAGCTGTTCAGTTCCCTAAGAGTGATCCATTTGGTGAAAATACTTGAAGATATACCAAGTCCTCTGATATTTTGATTTGTTTTTTAATTTTACAGGAAAATAAAGAATGATGATTCCCTTCAGAGAGTTAACTTAACTAGAAAACTTTAGTGTAACTTCCTTTCTGGTATACATTTTTTAATTTATTGGGGGGAGGGGGAGTACGTTAATAATTTTGCCTCCACTTCAGTAACAAGTCAGTCAACTGAACTGTAGATTCTAAGTACTGGTAACAGGTTTTTCAGCCTTTATGATTGTAGAGTACAAAACCAATTTAATGAAATTGCTTTCTGGATTCACACTTGGAAATGCTGATCTGCCCGTTTCCTATTCTAAGCATATTGCGACTTTGTGCAGTGATTTGTTTTGGTTATGGGGGGAGACATCCCACTTTCTAGTGATTTAAAGGTTGTTTGGTTTTAAAATACCAAAGCTGATGTTTCTAAATAAATACCTTTCAGTCTAATCTGATCACCAAAGTGTAGTTGTTTTTTCTTTTTTTTTTTGGTCTCTGTTCTCTCCTCCCCTTGCTCTCCACCCAGCTAAAACAAGCAGAGCCTTATGTTAACATCTGTGGCCAGTACTGACTACAAAAGTGCTTGGATTAAGAGGAAATACAGTGTGGAAAATAATACATAAATGGGTCTAAGCTGGGAACAAACAATTTGGAAGGCACAGTAAGAGAAACACACAGGATGGACACCATTTCCCTGGCTCGGTGTAACCTTGTTCTATCTTGAGGCATGCAGGCTAAGTTTTAGTTTTAAGAACATGCAGAAATGAACCCAGGGAAAAATCAAGTAGCAGATTCAATGTCCATCCAGCAAGTAATGAATTTGGCATGTTTGGTGCTCCCAATGAAAAGCTGGGGCAGGATTTAACTTTGAATTTTTAAATAGGTTACTGTCTAGTTTCAGATGAAAAACCTCCCTCAGAAAAGATTTCAGCATCTGTTACTTATCTGCAGGCCATTCCACTTACTAATTGGTCTAGCATAGTTACTACCCTACGGGGGGAATAGACTAAAGCTAGTGAAGAAATGTAGTACATTATAAATTGTACACTAAGTACACTGTGTATTGAAAGAGCTAGTGGCTATTGTGCTTTAACAGAACATACCAGAAGTTCCTGCTCTTTCTTACTGAAGTTCCATGAGCTGTTTAGTTTCTGTGAAACATCTGGCAAGAAGATGGCAAGAGCTTCCAGGGTGCTGTTTCCAAGCCACCATGGTATCAGCTGGAGGCTGAGCCTTTTGATGTTCACTTGCAGAACTGCCAATAGTATGATGCCCACGGAGTCCAAGAAAGATACTTCAGCCTATTTAGACTAGACCTGGAAAAGATGGATAAGCAATTGTTACATAAAGCAGGAGTGGAACAAAAAGAAAAGCAAACTAAACAAAATTCCATGCTTACAAGCACATTCATAAAACAGGAAAGTTGAAATAGTGACTGAACATCCACAATGTATATTAAATATTTAGTTGGTATTCCACAAAAATGATAGCAGCATGGAAGTTAAACTGAAAAGCATAGTATGTTGTTTAGCTTGTAAATTCAGACATTAAGAAGAAAGCCAACTAATTAATAACAAAAATTTTTAGAATCTCTATTCTGCACTCAGCTAATCCTGATTTATGCTTTTGTCAGATAATAAATACAAGATGCCAGAACAGGGTTTGGTTGATTCTGTTTGAAACGCAGAATACAGCTTTCTCAAGTGCTATTGTTTGGGTAGGATAATACATTCTTGAGAAGCAGACAAAACAGCAAAACGTTATATATTTCTGCCTTCCACATGTGCGCTCCAGGCATCTTTCATCCAAATCAGTACCTACTGCTGAATGGAAGCTATGAAAATCAGGGATTTTGCTTCTTGTTAATACTGACATTAAACAATAGATTTATTTCAGCTTTTTTGAAACCTCTAGTTTGGTTGTACGTACAATGCAACTCTGGTTACAAAACTGGCGTTATGATATTTGTTTCCATTCTAGTAAGCTTGCTCCCTATGCGTGACATGGCTTATGGGATAGAGATGTTTGGTTTTTAAATAACCAGTAACAGTTTTTCAGATGAAGAGTAGGCAGATAGAAACATGACAGAGGATGGAAAATTCCTGTAGTGGAAGGAAAAAAGGAAGAAAGGAACACAAGGGTAAGCGTTGATACCAAGTCATTGATCTCAAATGTCCAGTAATGAACCGGGACACTTTCTTTTGTGGCAGCAGCTCTGTAGTGGTCTAAATGCCTGCTCTTGCCTGGTTTACCCTGTTGCTGAAAATGGTTTACCCTTTTTCATTAACAAGCTCACACGGCATTATAACAAAAGTCATCATGCTGATTTTGGGCATAAAAATGCTTGTTTGCAATGCTACAGGAACCCTGTTCCAAGGATGTGCTACTGATCTAACAATTCAAGGTAAACAGGAAAGAAATTAAGTCTGGCTCACCACACTATACCGGTGTTTCTCCATCATCGTGGACAGCTGGTTCTTTGTATTGCTTGAAACATCTTCCACTTCAAAGTGACCACAATTTGTTTTACTGAAGAAGTATGGCATGCTGAAACACATGCGACTTGATCCAGAAAAGAAGATACAGTTTTTTAGTCAGTACAAAGTGGTAGTTGCCATTCAGTCACAAAACAAACCAGAACAAAATAAAATTTCCAGCAATCATAGAATCATACAATAATTAAGTTTGGAAGGGTGCCTCCAGAGATCGTCTAATCCAACCTCACTGACATGTCTGAGTCTATCACTGTCTAAATATATCACACGCTATTACTGTTAACATACCATCAAGTGTTAGAGTAATTCATATAACATATTCCTTCTGAAAACACCTTTTTGATGAACTGTCAAGGCAATGGGAAAGCAAACAGCTGCTACAGATAATATGCAACTTGGAATTCTTTTTTAACCAAGTTATTTATATAGCCTGGATCCAAGGTCCATCTAAACTGGTTTTTTTAGGCACTTGTGCATATAAAAAATTATCCCACAATTACACAAGTTTTCCATAGATATCAGAATAGCACTACATTTTAAGTCATGTGTCGCAGAGATAAATGATAACATATAAAATGGCTTGCAGAGCAGAGCCTGCAGCATACAGCTAACCAGCATCATGCTCGGAGTCCTCTTTGCTGTGTTGACTCTGGCAGCTGCAGGTACGTACCCAATTTCAGCGTTAGCTGAAAGAAAATAGAAAAATGAATTAAAATCTAATAGCAACTTTCCTTTTTTTTTTTGGGAAATTAGACATCCTGCAACAACACAAAAAGAGATACAGCATAGGCAGTTAATTAAAAAGTTCTGTCAAAACAGTGACTAGGTGTTGTGCTATTCTGTTCTTACGATACGGGCTCGATTAGCATTACTGCTCTCAGCCTTTAGCAAATTCAAAGTTATTTTACTTAGCTTGGATACACTGACATACAGTTAATCCACATCACATTGTTGCATTGGCTAAGAGCTGCATCTCAGCTGACACATGAGAATTTGGTTAAGCCTACTTGATTTGATTATGTCAGAAATGAAACCGTTCAAACAGACCTTACGTAACATTGGTCAGTTTTGACTGACAGCTGTATCTTCACTTGTATCACATTAAATCACAGCCTATTTTTGTACCTTGCAATATTCTATACAAACAGTCTATAATTAGGGAAAAAAACCCTCTCTTACAGACAATTTTTAACCATCCTATTTTTAAAACACGCATCCTATTTTGTATGTCTTCTAGCCTTTGGCTGCGGGGTTCCTGCGTACCCACCGGCTGTGTCTAGAGTTGTTGGCGGGGAAAGCGCAATACCATACAGCTGGCCCTGGCAGGTTAGTCATGTTGTGCTTTCCCTGGTACAGTTAGGGTTGTGCTACCCTCCCGCAACAAGGCTGAACAAAACCAGGCCTTTTATTTCATTTGATGCATCGTGCCTGTCATGTCTTAGGTTTTGAATATTACATTCTGATCGATCCCAAAGTTCTCAGTCCTTTTAAGAGAGCTCTGAATGTGCCACCTCTTGCTGGTTATGCAGGCTTCCATGTTCTTTCAGTAGTCTTGGGCACTATCCCACATTTATGCAAGACGACTGAAATTCAGTGGAGCGTACAATGCCTACTGGAGCATAGTTGCACATGGAGGTAAAAAATACATTTCTGAAGCAAATGAAATGCTCTCTCTAATTGGGCCAGGCTTAGTGAGAGCTTTGGAAGAAACAACATTAAAAAATCAAGCTTTTGGATGATAGGGTAGGAGGGAAATAATTTCTGTAGCCAGGAGTTGGAAATTTGTTGCTTAAAAGCTTCCCACGATCTTCCAGCAGCAAGTTGTGTTCTGGGTGCAGGAAGAAAGGGCAACAATGAAAAATCAGTAAGCAAAAATCTGAGCCTTACTTAATACATTGATCCTAGGCCTCCCTTCAATTCAGTTCAAATGGCAAATGGTACCACACCTGCGGAGGAACCCTCATTGCAACCAACTGGGTGATGACAGCTGCGCACTGCATCAGGTAATTCATCATCGTGGGTAAGCTCTTCATATTATGGGGCAGTACAAGAAAGAAGTGATCAGGTACATCTACGCCCTTTCATCATCAAAACTGTTTCCACAAAGGCAACCTTATTTTGGTTTGGTAGCATATGTCCTTGAATATGTACATAACAGTTCTTGGTTATTGTAACACTAAGTTGTAGAAAATACCATAATATGAAATAAGGATTGGCTGCATGTTATTATTATAAATCCTATATATTATATCCATCACACAGCTGTTTATCAGTGAACCTGTTTAATTGCTGTCAAAAAAGCAGTCCAAATTGTTTACTTCATTGAAGAATACGAGCTGAATCCTGCAAAGATTGGAGGCATCTTAAGTTTTGTAATGAAGCCTTAAGCAGGAGTTGATAGGACAGCTTGGAGATGAAGTGATTATTAAGCCTAGAACATCATGCTTTGTCCTTAGCAAATCAGCCAGACATTGGCTCAGCTCCAGAAAAATCATGCATGTGATATGAGACTACAGTCTTGAGGATATTCTTACTGAATATCTCAAGTGGCAAAGACGCAGATGTCTAAGCAGCAAGCCAGCAGCTGCATAACTGAGTATTAGTCCTTTTCTTGTTCAGTTCTTCTAGGGAATATCGAGTATTTCTTGGAAAATATAACCTAGCAGCTGTGGAAGAAGGATCAATTGCACTTCCTCCAGAAAAAATCATTGTCAATGAGAACTGGGATCCACAGAACGTTGCAAATGGGTAAGCTGGTGGCAAGTATTTTTTCAGTTATTAGAAAATCAAAATCAAATCAGGCAAAAATCAAACTGCCTGAATTTCATCCACCCTGACCTGTGGCAGCTAACTGGATAAATATTTAGAGTCTCCTGTTACAGCTTACGGATGTACTTCTAAATGTTTGCTCGTAGATGAGAGTTGAGTCTCCAGTTTGAATCTTTCCGCCCTCAAGAGAAGATAAAGAACTTTCAATATTAATTGCTTATTGATTGTGTTTTCAGATGACATTTTGCATGTTCATGCTTGGGTGGGAAGATGTCCTATGCAATGATTTCTTTTGTGCAGCGGAAGGAATTAATTAATTTATACAATACTCTTTGAAGCCCTTCTACAAATGGCACAAACACAGAGTATTAGTGATCAATAGTATTAATATCTTTGTTGCTGAAGGACTGCTATGTCCTGCTGCAGGCTAACGGCACTAGCGAAGAAATCCCCTCAGTTTCCAGGTCCTTGGAGTTAGTCCTAACACATGCTTGGGTTTGATGAAAAGAACCTATAAAAGGCAATTTCCAGAATGCCGCCAGCAGGAAACTTCTGCAGGGAATAGTCTTCCAGTCCATGGATTTCCCCATTGCTTTGAGAGTGGAGGAATCTTTAGTGCTTATGTACTGGCCTCCTTGCTCCCTTGCATCTCTTTTGAAGAGGCCAAGTGCTGTATAACTGCTAAGTATTTCTGCTACTGTGTCTTAATCTATTTGCAAATCTCTTCACCCCTTTCCTTTTTCTTCCCCACTCTCAAATGTGCACATGTGACCACAGGTACGACATTGCTTTGATCAAACTCACTGAACATGTCACCTTAAGTGACCACATTAAGCTGGCCTGCCTCCCTCCTGCACAAAGCATCCTATCATCCAACACTGCCTGCTACGTGACTGGATGGGGAAGACTGCAGAGTAAGTACTTGCATGTTTGCAAAATTGTGGAACAAAATCTTTCAGTACTGCCTTCTCCTTTGGGATTGATTGGAAAAAGGCTGTTGATGGTCCTCAAGATCCTCTCAACCTCAATGTGGTGAGGTAGTTTATCAGGCCCCACTTCACCCACCCAGTATGATTTTTCCCTGCCTTTGGTTCATTTTGCTTGTACTGGGGCTAATGAAGCACTAGAGGGCCCTGTAACTAAGCGTTTAGAAGCTATTGTAACACAAACGTTAACTGTGCAGACTGGTGAATTTGCTAATCCTAACATATCCCGCTGAATGACTGAAAAGACACATAACGGAATAGATTGAAAAGTAAAGGAAATCTCAGAGACTTCAGCAGAAGTGTCAGCTCGGCTCAAGAGGCAATTCCTAGATTGATAAGTAAATTGCAATGAGACTTTTTTAAACAGAACACAAATTATTAGTAAGTTAAAGCCTTTTTTTTTAATATAAAAGGATGGAGCTAAGGAATGGATTATACATCTTCTCCTTTAATGCAGTCCCTATGGAGTTTCTTATCTGGAGGGATAGTACCCAGATCCTGGGAGAAACTTAACAATGCACTTTTGTTTGTTCTTCAGTGCCAGCTGGTACCATGACTCCTTTGTTTCTATTCCCTCCCAGCAAATGGAGCTCTTCCAGATGACCTGCAGCAAGGCCTTTTGCTGGTGGTGGATTATGCAACTTGTTCCAAGCCTAGCTGGTGGGGAAGCACAGTGAAACCCACCATGGTTTGCGCTGGTGGGGATGGAGTCACCTCCAGTTGTAATGTGAGTCCAGAGAACACCACTCTTAGGGCTTGGTTTCAGACACAAACAGGTCTGATGGGAAGAAAAGCTTAAACAAGATGCAAGGAGGAGCTACTCACACTATTACTGCCATTAACTGTGTTCTCCGTTCCTCTCAGGGGGACTCTGGTGGCCCACTGAACTGCCAAGGTGCTGATGGCAGGTGGGAAGTACATGGTATAGTCAGCTTTGGCTCCGCTCTTGGCTGCAACTATTATCACAAGCCTTCTGTTTTCACTCGGGTCTCTGCTTACAATAGCTGGATCCAGCAGGTAAGGTTCTAGGTGTTGCTGCTAGAGAATACAGACACTTAGCTACTTCTGAGGTTCTCTCTGATTGACATTTCTGCCACCTACTCAGGGAACTGTATCACTTTTGATTCAAATGCTACTTTACATACAAATAACCTCTGTAGACAAGCAGTCTCTGCAGCAAAAAAGAAGTATCCTCTTCTTAAACAGTTATCAAAATTATTTTCACTTTTAAATAAGTCTATTTAAATATTTATATATTTATATGTTATATTTGTAGTCATAAAGATTTTACTAGTATGACTTCAGAAGGGATTACCTCAAACTTCTATTCATCCATATCACTGATTGTTGCAATTGCATCCTAGAAGGCAGCACATGCTGCTCAAGTCTGGAACATCAATTATTTTTTAATTTAATATAACCTTTAATCTAAAATGGGACTAAGAAGCAAAAATCTTATTTCAGTTATTTAAGTCCTGCATCTTGGATGCAACATATACTATTCACAAATTCCTGGGTCTCATGATCTGATTTTTCACTTGTTTTACATTCTTATAGGTTATGGCAACCAACTAATCCTAAAAGAACTGGATGATAGATGCCAAGAAGGAAAACAGTTTGAATAAAGTCATAATCATGACACCTTTGATCACAAATTGCTGGGAAATTACGCTTTAACAACACAAGTATTATACCTAACCATACAGCAATAAACACTGTTTTTCGCAACATGAAAGAAAAACGTGTGTCCCTGCCGCTTCTTCCCACGTACTGTCAGGACCAGAGCCTGTATTTAATGATGATGCTGGAGGCCTTTTACAGCCTTTCGGCTGGAGCTTGCTACCCTCACCTGGGGGAAGATGTGAGCCTGCTGTGAAGAGGCTGGGCAGTAGGAAGAGTTAGAGCCACAGGAACAACTCCGTGGGGCAGGGGGTGAGAAAGCAAGGCACTGGCAGGGCTGAAGGCAGCTGACAGGCAGCTGTCGGGACCCCCGAGCCTGCCAGCGGGACTCCCCAGAGCCAGCAGTGGCAATGCCCAGCGGGAAGGCAGCACGGGTGCAAGCAGGTCCATGCAGGTGAGTGTGGGAGCACTGACAATGCTTTTACAGAGCGGTTTTTAAACACCCTGTGATCCTGGGACTTAGCAAGGGGAAGGCTAAAAACCTGCAGTGAGTGCTGGCAGCGTCTATGCAGACCTATCTCCTCCACATCCCCGTTGCTCATTTTTAAGTCATTCAGATGCTGGATGAAGACCTCTGAACTGTCACTGTCAGCTGAAAACGGACACAAATGGGGTTTTTTTGCAAAGCACAAGCAGAAGCACCACGTTTTAGCCTGGTACTACATTAAAGCCCCTGTATAGATTTCTTTCATTGTCATAGAAAGTAGGCAGCATAAAATCAAGGTGGATTTTTGTTGTGTTTTTCTTCTCCTGCCTGGCACATATTTTGGTGGATTCAAAACTAAAACAATTGGTTAAAACCAAGGACAAGCGACTCAAAGGTAAGCAGTAGATAGAGTAAGGAAAAGATTGGAAGTTCGTTGTGAGAACAGAAATGCATCTGGGTTCAGAGATAAATTTTCCTAGGTTTGCGGTTCCTTTCAGTCAGACATTTTGCAGTTGTTACGCTTGGATTGAAAATAACTAACTAACTAAATAAATAAATAAATAAATATTAGTAAACAGAAATAGTATTAAATAAATAAATAAATGGCTGTTTAACATCTTTGGAGACTGTACTTTTATTACTTTTCTTCTGCTTCACAATCATTGACACCGTTCTGCTGCAAAAAGCCCAGCAGGAACTTGGTTTGCCTCTGCTGAGAAATAGCAGGCTTTATTGCGTTTTTATTTCTCTTACTAAAAGTGTAGTTTCACCTACCTGAAAAAGCAGAGGGTCTGAGGAGGGATTTTTTTTCCATCACCTCTACTATGTTGAGGAAAAGAAAGAAAGAGGGGAAAAAAAAAGTGACTGAGCTGAATGGACTGATCAGCAACCCAGTCCCCTGGCTTGTTCTTTATCAGTGGAAATAAGGGCTGCCCAGTTATTCAGAAGTCATCAGCTTCAGCATAACATCCTGAGTTGTTTTAATGAGTATCATTAACGTAAAATTGTAAATGATTGATTAATACTTCTGAAAATGAAAATCATTAAAGGTTACTTTGCTGTATAGAGCATGGATATCAGTTATGTGCAGCATGAAAGAGAAGGACAGAAGAGGTAATCATGAAGCTCAAATAGTAAAAATTGGATATGTATATGCTTCTGTAAAAACTGAAACAAAACTGAGATTTGATTCATTTTCCTTTGGAAATATTTAGACAATATTGTGGAAATGTTTGAGCTCATATCAACACAAATTATTAATAATCCAGAAATTCCTAATAAGAACAAATTCTAAAAGTTTAATTAAAAAAATTTCAACAGTCCCAGTTGGTGATCACTGAAATAAGTAACCTATCTTTTCCAAGGGCTTCTTTAAGATTTGGATGGAAGTACCACAGAGAATAAAACCTACAGCAAATGACTTTATCAGTCTTAATACTCACAGAAAAACTGTACGATGTCATTCGTGTTTTTGCAGCTCTGAGCGTGTCACAGAAACAGTTTCTTTACTACACCGTTTCTTTTAAAAGAAAATGTCAGGTGGAACGAAATATAATAAAATATGTCTTTCAATAACATTCAGCTAATGCATGATCCCTGTACTTTGTTTCAGAACCGATGTGAATTGTTAAATATCACTGCTAGCTCCAGTTATGTATTCAGCAGCTGCAATAAACATCCTAGGGATCAGACACTTTTTTCTTTTCTCCTTTTTTTAGATGTTCTCCCCGCTCCAATGCTGGTGGTAGAAAAACAGTTCGAAGGATTTTGACAGCATGCATGGTCTCCCTCTGCAGCCTCCTTGGAGCCATTTCTTTTGATTTGAGAAACAGCTTGGAAATATGGAGAAACACAGGGAAAGCCCTTCAGGAACTTTCCTCCTGTGAACATCTTTGGGCTGTTCGTTTAATCTATCTCCTGCAGGAAGAAAGGCACAGCTGGCTGTTCCCAGCGGCAGACAAGAGGAAGAGATCATTTCATGCTCAGCTATTGGGGAATTTAAACTCCCTCTGTAAGGCAAGTGAAGCAGAACTGTATTGTGAGAATTGCCAATGCAAGAAGGAGAAAATCTCCATTTGTAGATTTTACATCACTGACATGAGACAAAAATTAAATAGCACAGGGGATCCTGAAACTAGCCAGGTGCTGTCCAGAGTGATCTCTGAACTGCTGCAGCATTTTAGTAGTCCCCATGAAGACCTCAAAGCTATGAGACACAATCCTGACTGGGCAGACATAGTAGCTTTTAAACTCATCCTTCACATAAGAGAAGCCATGCTTAAAGCACATTTAATGCCAGCATCTACAAGGTTTCAAATAACATTGCATCAATTTTTTGCCATTCTGAACTACGCTATCTTCTCATCGGAGAGTGTACATAAGTGCTGGGTGGATAATGTCAATCTATCACTTCATTTCACCCACTATGAAGGAATCTCTTTTTTCATCCCGTTCCTGGGCTCAGATGAATTTGTGTCCATTGAAGCCTTGGTAAAGGGACTGCATTATGTACAGAGTTGCCTACTGCAGAAGGGACAAGAAAAGCTCCTCAAGAAATCTAAAGAAATTCTGTACACAATGAGCCTTAAGACTGGTCTGTTAGTGATAGCCTGCCTCACTTACCCCATAATCCTGATGTCCTTCAAGCAAATGACAGATTGGATATATAATTATGCCAGGAACCTCAAGGAAAAGACAGAGGACTTGAAAAGGGAGAGGCGGCTAGCTGAGGACCTCTTGCACCAGATGTTGCCAAAATCTGTGGCCAAGCAGCTACGGAAAAGCCAAAAAGTTGAGGCAGAAAACTATGATCAGGTTAGCAAATAGAAAGGATGCTGTCACCAAGGATAGAAAAGTGTTCACCTGAAAGTGCACCTACCTTGCCACCTTTTTGAGGAACCTGGTTTTGCACCCATAGTTGAGTGTCGATGGAAATCCAAATATTAATGAAGGGTTTTGGAAAGAGCTGTGCAGTGTGCCATGAAGCACTCAGGCTGATGGGGAAAGGAAGAAGAGCTGAAATTTCCAGAAGCGTAGCTTTAGACGTCAAAGATGCTATATTGGCAAGTTGTCGTCTTTGGGTTTAAGAGTCTACTCATGAGAGCCAGCCAGCATCATTAGATCATGAGCACATAAGAGCAAGAACTGGGTTTCCTCCTTGTAAAATGGGAAGAATCATGAAAAAACAACGTAGGACAAGTCCTGTCTGTACTTGTCAGTATGATTCTACAAACATGAATGAAAGGAGAGCATGGGAGTTAGAGAAGGATGAGAGGGACGGATGGTCTCGTAGCCTCAAGTGTGTAACTGTAACAAAGCCTGTTGACATAAAAACAAGGGCAGAGTTTGTCCAGGCACCCATTCCGTTGCAGCTCTGCCTCACAGCATGCATGTTGCTGTCAATGCTGAACTTAGCAGCTGTGCTGTATAGCCCACAGCCAAAATCCTCATGCTAAAGTAATTGCAGTTCTATTCACTGTTTTTCCCCTGGATGCTCTGTTACTTTCAGCTGTGAAACACAATAATAAAGGTTTGCATTTAATTTGTAAGTGTCATTATCAAAACAGCAACCTGTAATTGCACAATTAACTATAATTCACAGTAGTCATGACATCAAAAGTAGCTGAACCAAGGCAGGGGGTGAAAAGGTGGTTCTTCTGGATTAATTGGTATTACCAAGGATAAATAAAAGAACAATTTTAGTTTAAACACTGACAAAGTTCAGGCAGCACAGAAGAGAAACACTTAGTTCTTTGCCAACATCTATAACACACATTTCCCTTCCTCAATTCAGTTAATATGGTTTCTGTTGTTCTTTCTTTTAAAAATATTATTTTTTTAAAAGTTAATTCCTCTAAATTACTTGATCATAACAAAGATATACATCATTTGAAGAGAAACAAAATCCAGTTAATATTTCCTAATTCAATAAGAGCAGAGACAGCAGTTGAGTTTTCATTTTGCAGTTTCTTCAGATACCTAGTTTTGATGTCTACCACGGTTTAAATCACTTTAAAACTGTTTTAAAAGAAAAATCAGTCCCTACTTCCACAAGAAGTCTGTTGATCACTGCTTGCAAGATCCAAAGCATTTGACTTTCAGTCTCCCATCTAGCAGAAGGTATTCAGAGAAATGCAGATGATAAACTTTGGAGATAAACATAATTTTATCTGTCAAAGTAATAGAGAACAATTCAGAGCCAGAGCTTGTTAATTTAGGATTGCGACTATTCAGTTCTGCAACACTGGTTCTATGTGCAGCCTGTGCCCTAGGCTGTTCCGCTCAGAATTTCACAAATGCCCAAACTCTTCAAAGGATCTGCCACTGTTGCCTGGAGACCTTGGCTTCACACTTTCCTTCTCCCTGTGACAGGTGACCATCTTTTTCTCAGACATCGTGGGGTTCACAAGCATTGCTGCCTCCTGTACTCCCTTGCAAGTTGTTGAGATGCTCAACAATCTGTACGTCTGCTTTGACAGCAGGATTGAGTCTTACGATGTTTACAAGGTAAGTACAAACCTGCAGGCAAGGAATCTGGAAGTTGCTGGAATCTTACTTTGTTCCCTAGTGA